AAAAATATATATTTAATAATCTAGTAAAATATACATATAGTCTAATAAAATGAAAATGTTTATGATGCCTATATCAACAACGTGTTCTATAATAACATTTCTGCTTCTGCGTTTTATTTTGTTTCTACTTCGGTTCGTGGATTCACTTCCACGTCGTGGAGCAAATATTTTCTTTCACGACGATTTCAGTATTAATGCGACATATTAAAGGCCGCGAAAGCGAGAAAGCGACGAGAGAGCATTAGTGCCGCCTTATTAGGCCCGCGAAAAATGGCCGAGCGTCTTTCCCTCGGCAGGTGATGGCATAATACGGCCGCGGCATCGCCACTTCCGTGGCAGCTAATTCCACATTAACTGCACTCCCTAAATCTCTGTCAACGCCGTCTCTAGGGCGGCCTCGACAAAAGCTGAGATTCGATTCCCGTACACATGCGCACCCCATACCTTCACACACCCATTCGCGCGCGCACACACGCGCGTCAGGGTACCGGAGTCGATTTCAAAACGAGTACTTACGGCTCTCTCAGGAGCACCGAAACGACACGGACTGCGGCGTCGGTAGACGGCGAGGGGAGTCAGTCGACCGTGAAACGCCAAACTAAACGGCGCTTTGGGCGCCCAAATACGAGGCTCGAATCGCCGCTCGAGTTGTATGTGTGACACCCACACAAATGCACGTGCGCACACAAAACATGGACGTGCCGCCTCTCGCAGGCTGTGTAAGTTTAGACGAGATTATGGAAAGTATATACGAGATACCAGGGGTATATTCAGAGAGCAAATGACATGGCACAATCGAGATAATTGACTCTCTTAACGGGACGCGCATAATTTCGCATTGATGATAATGCCTATTGTTATTTCTGTTTCTTAAAACGTATTGCGTGAAAGAATTGCTAAAGGAGTTGCAAACAATAAATCAAAACCTCAGAAGAGGAAGTTATTTGCACCAGGGTCGTAAATAAAGAGATTTAAGAGATTCTAACGTTTATTTGTGAAGACTCAAGCCGTACAAAGTGAATTTATAAAAATATATACAATCTATTTATACTGCACGAGATATAAATCTTTCAGGTATTTTAATTTTTAATTCGCATAATGGAGAAGGAGAAGCACACAATTTCCTGTTGCTCGTGTAATGTCGCAGACTGTAATTTCGAGGTGCCGGTATGTAGGTGCATAGATATCGCGTATTTATACCGGCGTACGTGAAGCATCACACAAAAAGGGCATAATGGAGCCTGTAGTCAGATAGGTGTACATAACGAGGCCACAGGAGGGGTAAGGCACGAGGAGGCAGGGTGGCGCGCGGAGGTTGTCGAGATATAAATGGCGGGGAGGAGAGATCAGAGAGGGTTGTTCCCCCTCATCCAGAACGCATCTGCCCCATTATGCTGCCCCGGGGCACTCCCGAGACCATTAATCCTCGCTAAACGACAGCCATTTTGTACCTAAACTGGATTGCCGACTCACTAACTGGTTTTGAGGACGCTTAATAGACTACTCGGTGCTCCTATTATGGCGATCGCGCGTCCGCGCTGTATTTCGGCGTCGTTTATTCCCCGTTAATGTGCAAATCGCGGGGAACGCTCGAAACATCCCCTCCTCCGAGGCTCGCGCGCGCGCGCGAACGTTCGTGCATTCTGCTCGTCACGGTGTTCGGTGGTTAACAAAAGTTCTGCATTTACTTAAACTCTTCACTCACTCTTCAGTTATAAATCTGTAGGATATATAGCCTAGATAAATATGTTTAACATAATAATGATATATTTAAAAGTAATTTTAATTATATTTTATATAATAGAATATTTCATATTTCATATTTAAAATATTGAGATTTTAAACACATTTTATTACTTATATAAGTCTCACCAGTAATATTAATATAATACTAATATACTCTATAATTTCTAACAATCTGAGCTTAATTATACGTAGAACTTGGAAATTATAAAAATAATTCATAATCATAATGTATGTAATAAAGTCACATATGATTCTGTTTACATGTGTACGTTATATGTATTCAACGCAGCAGGTCTCGAGACGGTTAAACCAAATCACTTGCCAGTTAAACGATTTCAGCCGCTCTGTAGTCTAATTAACGTCAACGGTTCGGCACTGCGGCGCGTCTTAATTGACTCCGCAATTCTATTTCACATCGCGTTTAAACATTTTCGCGCGTAACGCGCGTAACATAATCCGCCCAGAGCGAGAAGAATCGTCGAGAATTACGAAGGCGTCGTGGCATCAACGCGACAACCCTAGCCGTTGTCAAAAATCATTTTGCCTGCAACGGATTATGACCGAGAATTTCCTTAATCAGTTATGGAAATATTTCCTTCTCTGATGGAGACCTGTGCGTATCCCGTGGGACATGCCGGGGCGTCAGAAAGTCGCTTGCTATTATCTTCGTCACAATAGGCCTGTTTTTTTTAGCTGAATTTCTTGCACGGTGTATCTTTTCTCTTTTTCTTTCCACCGCGGTGGAGAGAAAAAGAGAGAAGTTGAACCGTGCAAGAAGTCCAGTTAAGAAAAAAAGAGGCCTATTATAATCAATCGGGTTATTATAAACCTAAATATTGTGGTGTAACTTGTTGCGATTGTTTATGCTGACTGTATTTTGAAAATACTAGCTAAGGCCCAGTATTCATATATGTATAGTCGGATCTTATTTTAAGATGCTAATATCTCTGTGATTAGTTTATGACATCTTAATATTGTACTTAAGATGGTCTTAAATATAAGATCTGATTATGAATATTGGCCTAAAAGTTGGAATATGTATAGAACGTACTTACCGTAATTTATCCTATATCACTAATGTACAGTTTTACAGGTCTACAGTTTTACAGACTTCTACTAATAAAAAAATATTATATTTACATAACGAGTAGTTAAACTGGTAAACAATAAAATTTGTAAATCTGCTTGTTTAAAAAATCTCTCACTATTTTCAATTTCGTACGAAATAATAAATATTTCTAATTACATTATTATTTTTTTTTTTTCATTATTGTTTAGCAGATTTTATAGTCATAAAGTAATTTGTATAAGTTAAATCTGTTATGTATCTAAAAAAAAGTCCAGAATAGGAGAGAAATCAAAAAGAGAATCGCTTTTAATTAACTGAATATTAATTGATTACGTAAGTCTTAGCCATCTCAAATCATTACAGTTTTAATTACATTTATATGTAAATCTTTGCATCGATTTCTTGTCGAGTTGTGCGAAAGGCTTTCGTTGCTTTAATGCCTTGCTAATCTTGGTCTTTAATAAAATGTTTGTTTTTAACACGTTAACGCGATAGGCTCGAATGAGAGCGTCATAAAGTAGGAGACAACGGTGCGTACGTTGCTCAAAGCTTCCTCAGTCCTGTTTGCGACTGGCGAACGGCAAAAACCCCGTGCTTGACGGCTCAATCCTCTCTTTCTGCTTGCTCCCGCCTTCGGGGTATATCTCTTTCCTCGCGAGAAGAGCGCGCGCGTGTTTGCTTGACTTACTGCAGGAGCTTCCCCACCCTCGTCGTATCGATACCCTCCCTTCTTTTAAATCGGAGATTCAATATGCCCGATCTGCTAACACTCCATTATCCATCTCTTCTATCAGTGAAACATCCTGCGGTTATTCTTGTATAAAGAGCGCAAATATTTGTGTTTTTTTAAATACTTATTCGTGTAATTATTCTTGCAGCGATATGTGTCTCTCGATAACATATACTTAAGGAAAATACTGCTTTTGTGAAATTATTGAAAGCTAAAACATTAAAAAAATATTGTACTTATTATAGATACTAATATTAAAAAATTTAACAGTTAAAATTTTTTAAAAGAATAATAGTTTATTTCATAAGATAATCTAAAGAGGACAATATCAGTTGAAATAAGATAGTTATTTCAGCAACATTTTCATAATTTATTTGCATCACTCTGAAAATAAATATATCTCTGAAAATAAATATGCTTTGTGAAAAGTTTTTTTTTCAAGTACATCGTATTCCCAACATTTATTTACAAGCATAAAGAGCGCAAATGGTCAACCGAAAACCAGATTGTCAGACCAAGGTTCCAGTCACGTGTTCCAGCACGCATGTCGTGATTCCGTTAATAATTAAATATGATCAACGTCGAGAGCGTGCATTTATATCGCCCACGGTATAAATCCTAGATCAGCCATCGCTTGCTCTCGCGAGAGCGGAACGAGGTGCCGCGCGGTTTGTGAACGCGAGAGGGATGCTTGCCCTCCCAGCCGTGCGCCCGTGCACACAGCCACGTGCATCCGTATTGCCAATCAATTCGCGCATTGCGCGCCCGGGAATTAGACAATTAGGAGTCGTCACGTTCCGCTCGGTCCCACCGCGTCCCACCACCACCATCACCACCACCGCCGCCGCCACGTTCCATCGACCATCCGCGTTCTCCACCACCTTGAAGCATTCTCCGGCATCGCGGCATCGGGCGATGCAGCCAGCTCCATCTGGCGGTCCTGGAAAACCGGAAGAAGGGGGTTTCCCCTACGGGGTTTCGATCCACCTCGTTGTCCGCTATTGGTCCACGTCCGACCACGAAGAACGCCCATTCTCGAAACGCCCGAGATGTGCGTCGGCTCGCGCGTATTGGTCGAGCCCAGGCCACGGTACCGGTTTTGCTAGCGCTGCGGGGGCGGCGCGCACCCGGCGGTGGCACCGCGACGCCGAGAACGAGGAAAGAGAGACAGAGAGAAAGAGAAAGATGCAGTGAGAGAAAGAGAAAGAGGGAGAATGGAGAGCCCCCCGGCAGGGCTCTCCGCCGCGAGTGCAGCCGAGCTGGTAATCAGTGCCGTTTCCGCGGCAGTGGCGGTCACCACGCGGCAGATTACACAGATTACAACCGATTACATTTGTACTCCATCGCTGACGGTCGTTTCTTTTCTTGGGACGACCACTGCACTCCCACCTTGTGTCCTCACCGTCGCGCGACTCGAGCTGGAGTACGCGCTCGACCGTCTTGGTAAATCGTCTAGGTCGCGTGAGGCCGCGTCGTCGGTGCACAAAGAAACCAAGTGCCTCAGTCGAAATCCAGGAGCGTTGGAGGAGATCGCCCGCGCTCAATTCCTTGGCGTTGATGGCACGACGGATTTTGTTGACATTGGAAATCAGCACTTTTCCGAGCTATGCTCCCGAAGATCCTGTATATTACGAACATCAACGTTTATAATCTAACGGTGGAATAGACAAAACATCAAAGTGTATCATGTCATGAAGAAGGCTCTGAGTTTAGAACGAGAGAAACGCGATGCTGGAGAATCTTTTAGAATATTAAACACGCGACACACGACGGATTAGAATAATCGTTCGCAATTATCCGAAACGTAAGATGACAGCGGAAGCTGTTAACGTAAGATTCATTCATAACACGTCATCTCTCGCAAAGAGAGTATTATACAGCGTAGATTCCATTCTGCACGCTTCATTCAAATGTTTTTATACAGATCCGTTAAACGCTGTCTGAGAGAAAGGACTATAAAGTACCGCGAAAAGAAGATTGCCGTATGATAATATCGGGGTCGGCGAGAATGCAAAAAGTATAAAAGTTAAGAGGTGAGAAGAGTTGAGTCATCATGTTGATACCTTAAGAACACTCTTCTGACTCTAATGGGGGAATCCGCTCGTGTCGGCTGGGTCATTCCGCGGCGATGCGGCGGATTCCAAGAATAACGGAGCGTAAAACTTATTGAGACGGCGGGTCGCGCCTTGGAGAGTCTCCTCGACGTTAGCGGGTTTCGTCTACGAATCACGATGTGACCGATCGTCACCTGAAAGTGCTCTGCGGCTCGATCACGTCAACATATGACGTCTATCGTTCTTTAACGGACGTCCGTGAGAAGCTAATGCGACGACTATCAGCTGACACTTTAAGGTGCGACGCTACTTATTCGGAGTTTCGTTCAAATCGTAGTGTAAAGGACATTGGGTACACGATCCAACATGGAACCAAGAAAGCGACCGAACGATCTTTCTATTCGTATCTTCGGATGACTGTCGAGTGTAATTTGATAGATTGATAAGAATCGCTGGTTGCATTTCGAGACTTGTGAGACGCGAGAATCCGAGAGGCCGACACATTGGCAATCGGCATGAGCAACGGCGAAGGTGTGGTGACGGGCCCGGGTTCCGGTAACGATCATCTGTGCGAGGACGTCGACATGGCCACTCCGACATCAGCGTCTTCGAATCTGAAGCCGCGAAGCGGCAAGATCAGCTTCAGCGTCGACGCCCTGCTGAGCGGCACGAAGAAGAGTGCCATCACCGGCGGCACCTTTGCGGCCAGGCGAGACAACGATGACAGGATGGACGCCGAAAAGAATATCGAGATGGAGGCGAGATATCGAGAGCTTCTGATGGAGCAGCAGAGACTACAGAGCAGAGAACTACTCGCCAGGTTGAGTCCCCACGGTCTCGCCGGCTTCGGAAATCATCACCATCATCATCACCCGAACAGACTCGAGCAAGATCACCCGCCCGCACGACAGGAGATGCTCACAGTGAAGGATTTCTCCAGGACGAGCCACGACAAGTCGTCCTCGCCCATCAGAATAGACCAGGAGAACCCGAGAGACCGACTGACCAATTCGCCGAGTGGAATCGGCGAGACGATGCTCCAACGAGAACAGGAGCGTATTCAGGAGGAGGACGAGAGGATCGACAGGATCACCAATCCGAGATCCGTGTCGCCCGCGAGCAGACGAGAGATCCTCGACGATCGTAGCGATTCCGAAGCGAATCGCTCGCTGGAAGGAGACCGTACGACGGATCATCTGGATCTCGAGGACAATGAGATAAGAAGCGTCGGTCATTCTGAGGATCTAAACGTGATGGACTCGGACTGCGAGCTGGAGAGGGACCTGGAAACGAGCCAGGAGAAGGAGGAGAAGTCCAGCCCGGTAGTGCCTCAGCCGATTCATCCCGGAGTGCAAAGGCCCTCGCAGGGCCCGCCGTATCTCGCCGGAGCACCCGGCGCTCCCGGCTGGAACCCCGCGGGATTTCCGCATTCTCTGGCGGGGTTCGCGTGGCTGCCCCCACCTCCGCATCCGCACAATCCTCATGGACATCTTTACACGCCGCACGGTGGGCCCACCAGCCCGAACGGTAAGACTAACACAAAGCATCGTGCTTAAGATCGATTAGCATATTTTAGAATGTGTAAAATGTCATGTGTACTAATAAATAAACATAAACTTTATATTTTTATGTTAATATATTCATATTTTATTATTCGTATCACTGAAGATTATGTTAAATAAAACTCGTAGAAGATGTGGATGATGCATTGAATCAAAATTATTATTCTCAACATAATGTCGTAATTGTAATATTGTAATAATTATCCGCGGAAGAATATTCTCTGAAATATATATATAAAGTAACGTTTGAAAACTTTAAAAAGAACCTTCCGCGTAGACGAGGGTAGTTTCGTTGTGTTTGCCTTTTACCTTGTGATCTTACCAGATACAATGTCGGCAATCAGATGGAAAACGCAAACTCTCTTAATGCAACCGTTAATACATGACACGCAGACTCATAATGCTCTGCATTAGTGCCGTGGATCACGCGAGTAGGCGGGCATTATCGGTCTTACGTGCCAAAGAATTCGCTCTCGTACTCCGGTTTACCTTCATCGCAATTGAAGCTTAAAGCTAAGGCCTTAAAACTACCATCACGATCGACACGATATCTCTTGCCCTGACGATTTCTTCTCGAGCGGAAAGATTTAACGGGCATAACGAGACTAATGATATACCTTAAATGTGATGCAAATTCAAGAGATAAATATTTATATTTCGACGAACACATATCATGTTTAAATTTATCGCAGCCATTAACTAAAGACATGAATGTTCGTGCCAATATCAATTCAGTCCGCAATTTGATTAAATCATTGATTTAAAAGATTTGTTGCATTCTTATTCAGTATATAATTCTATATTCTATAAAATCTGATTCTGTAATCGTATGACCTTTAGGATAAGACTTGTACACGTATCGTGCTATTAATTTAAATAAATGGTAGAATTCACGATAGCTATATGTATACAGTTTTAAATTATCATGCGTTTCTATATAGACCAATAAATAATGCAATACATTTTTTTTAGTGGGAATACCGGAAGTATTTTATTTCCGTTTTATTTACATTAAATTAATTCATAGCCTTTGCAATTAATAGAACGCTATTGTAGTTATGAATTGATTAGTTAAGAAATTCTTGCGTTTCTTGCCATACGGCATACAAAATTCATTTCGTCTTACATTGATATTGCTACTTTTATCACATACAATATTGTCAAATGCTTTTTAATGCCGTTCAGCAGTATCTGTAAACGTCGAATTATTATGGGCGTACATTAGCCGTTAGTTCCAAGAACTGTAAGAGTTAGCATCGTTCACTTATCGAGTGCACTTTACTTACGCGTGCAACCGGGTAAAACCGCAATTTTCCTTCTACTCGTCGCGCTGTCGACTTCCGGACAGGATTGCAACTCGACTGTTTCGCAGATTCTTTCCCGAGTCTATTCCACAAACGTCAATGCGGAACTCGAGTCCGTGTTACGGCTCGCGATCGGTTCCCTGAAACGTGCACGATCGGCGCGTCGGGCTCGATCGTCGTATATCTAGGCTATTAGGACGCACGATCGGCGCTTACAAAGCGACGACGGGAAGTGTTTTCCATCGCCTCTGGTGTGATGGGAGCAGGAGTGACCACAGAGTAACGCGAGCGAAAAATCGCGCTCGACGAGATAAAACTCGACGTAATTGCCTAATGAGGAAGGAGAAACCGCGATTCTCGAGACAGGTACAAAAGTGATCAGCCGTACGGAGATACAGATCTTGTTTCATGACCGGTGGCGGATATATGGATTGTAATTGGCTAATAAATCGAGAAGGAAAGCCGTGGCGGCTCCACGTCGCGATAATTAGACGCCGCTACTGCTTGAGAATACTTCGCTGATAAATAATTTACGATGACTTAAACGAGAGAATTAGTTGCGATTTATTAATTACCGACTGGGAGCTCGCTCTCTCTTATCTCGCGCGATTAGCGGTTACCTGAAGAAATTCGATTGCTGTAAACAAGATACGAATTGGAATGATATATACGTTCTTTTTTGTGACTGAGTTATATTTATTTCACGTAAAACACGACAAAATGCTCAAATCAATCGAGAATATGTTTTGCGATCGGAATGCGACATCGATTGACAATGACAATGCACGGTGGTTCATTATTAGTTTCTTCCACAATCGTAGTCATTACCATTTGTTTAAGCTAGTGGAAGAATTCATCTAATGGAGAAAGACATTGAAGTGTAAAGACTCGTGTTGCCGTGTGAGTGAAGGACTTGGCGAACATTACTACATTGAGTCCATTCCTAATGGACAATTAAAGTAATACCTCATTAAGGTGTAACCGACACCTCTCGCGCAATGGGCTAATCGTACATCGTGGCTCTCTTCGGCGAGTACTCCGCCTCAAGTGCTCGAGTAGTCGCTCGGCTGCAAAGGACGAGGAGGACGAGAGTGCTCCTCGTACCTGGTCTCACTATTCGCGCGTCAACTTTTATGCTCGCCAGGAATTCCGTAATGGTTTTAGAGATTTCTTTCTTGGAAACGGCGCGTGCGTTCCTCGTTACGCGCGGATATAATTTCGCTCGCAGGAACTTCGAAATTCGCGACGTTATTTACTGCTAGGACATTTAACGAGAACGGCAAAGGGGTCATCTTCAAAGAATGAATCATGATTATTTTAATATCTTCGAAAAATTGCGATAAATTCTTACAATCGTGGATAATAAAAAATCCGCAAAGTTTTTCCATAATTGCGCGAACAATAAAATAAATCTTGCGATCGAGTGATAAAAGAAAATTATTAAAGAACCTTGGAGAAATTTTTCAGCAATGTTCCTTATTTTCCAAATACATAATTAAACAATTGATATAATTGAACAATTAATGTAATATATGGAGCGAAATCGGAAAAGGGAGAATATTAAGAAAACACGCAAGCATAAAACTGATATAAACGTACAAGAGCTAGTTATGTGCGTCACCTTATCTTTTAAAGTAACATAATTGAAAGCAACACTTATATTACTTATAACACTCGATATAAAGCGGCATGAATGGTAACCGGAGAACGAGAGAATATTGGAAAGACACGCGATCCCGCAACTAATGGGAACGCATAAAAGCCGGCTGCATAGACCCCTGTATCTCTCAAAGTGGCATAATTGAATGAAATGCATTTACGTCATTTGTGTCAACCGTAATAAAATCCGGCTCAAAATATAACGCTCGATGTAAAACTGTATTGACAGCAAATCGCGAGGGGACAACAGGAAGATACAATAGCGAAATTGATGAGAACGCGTAAGAGCGACTATTTCGCGCGCTTATTTTCCATATCGTGTTTTTCATATTTGTTTACGCTGCCTATATAGAAAACGAAAAGTGGGAAAAGGGGATGTGATGATCGGCCTGCGTGCCATCCGGGCGAATCGCGCGATCAGTTCGACATGATAGAGTCATATATAACTCACGACATCCATAATGCATTCAAGAGGCGCCCGGTAAAAACTGCTCTTGTTAAAGTGGCCTGTTAAGTTTGGTGTAGCGCATTCAGCTTCCTGTGCGACGTCGCTCGGCGAAACTTTTTGCGAACGATAACGACAAACCATTCGCCCCTCGGCCCGCCCCGCGCTCCTCTTATACGATTTGTCTTCCTCGTTTTCTTTCCGCTATTGGTGCGCGACACCAATTATACCGGCACTTAGAACGAATGCCGGAGCAGCTCGGTATGCGCCGTTATTGCAATCGCGCATTATCGCAGTCGCGACATTGTTGCTTTTGCCCCGGGATGATTGTTCACTCACAGGAAAACTCGGTTAATTATCACGTCTTTTGTTAGTCCTCGGTACTTTCAATAAGAAGCTCCGAATGATGCGAGAGAAGAGAAGAAAAGTCAACATTTACTCATTATGTACAATTAATCGCGCGTCAATATGTAATCGTATTTATTTCACACAGAGAAATTTGAAACTAACTGTAACAATTTTTGTCGCAGATGAGCATTTCTATAATGTACAATAAAAGTGATATTTTGGGAGAAGTAGTGTAAATTTTAAAAATATTGTACTAAATTAAATTAAACGATTTGTATTCTACTTAAAAGTCATGTCTTTATAAGTAGTAATCTTTAAAATTGAATAATTGAGCTTTATAAGACATTCTTTAATGATTTTCGTAACAAAATACACTGTTAAATTCGTAATACTCAATTTAAGTCATTTTTTTACCATTATTCAATATTCCTATAAGTCGCCACTGTTCCTACTCAACATGTCGTTAATTTAAGTAAAACAATGTTAATTTAACTAAACCAATGAAGTTAAAATAATAAATTTGGACACACATGGTAGTTAAAAATGACAAAATATTTGATATTATTTAACTCAAGGTATTGGTTTAAATTTCATCCTTTAATATTTAACAGTGTAAATACGTCGCTCTCCGAACGGAATACCTCCACAAAATATCATATCTTCTGGTCACAAAAGTCGTTTCTGAAAAATTAGACAGTGAAAAGCTTATTAGCCCATTTCCATTAACTGTTCACAACTGACAGTTATGCCAGGAGGGGGGGGGGAAGGGATGCAATACGCCGGGGCTCGTATACAACCGATAATCCCGGGGCCCGTCGCTGGGCGGCGGCTTACGAAAATTATGAATACGGACGTCATTTATAACGCTCGAACGCCGCTGCCCGCACGCATTTATCTGGATTGCGCGCGCAGGAATGAATTAACGACGCCCGCCCCGCGTCCAATGATGTTCTACAAAATATTTCGGACGATTCATCATTCCATGGACGTAATTACCCGCCTCGGTCGTTCCAGCGGTCCGACGCGACGCCCGTCTGCCCGGCTAACGCGTCTCTTCTCAGCATCCCCGAAAATTCAGTATCCGTTGATGAAAGTAGTGCAGCGGTTGCGTAACGATTGCAATTGCTTTCTGAGATTTCGCATCTCATAAAAATGTTTGCGTGAATTGTATGCCCGCGCACGTAACATCAAAGATCTGATTTTATTATATTAATCTTAGAATAAATTTCAAGCTTTACGTTATATTAGTTTAACGCAATATGTATTATATCATTATAATTCAATATAATTAAATATTAAAATTTTAATTTAAAACTCGTAATTTTAATACATGCAGTAATTTCAGCGATTCTCAGCCACACACGAAGGCTCTATCTTTAATTAGGCTGAGTTGACGCCAATATATTCAGCAACGATCCGGATCAATTCTTTATCGTCGTACATTTAACCGTACATAGTCCGAAAAATTTACAGCATGGAAAGCGAACGGATTGTGTCCCTATCAGGGACGACAGCGGCCGTTACGGCGATGTAACCGTTCGCGTGCGTGTTTCAGCGATCGGGTAATTAACAGAAATTAATTAGCAGTCAAGAAGAACATATTGATCGGTTACGTGCGCGGCATGGCTAAACTTCGACGAGCGACATGAAATCGCTGTATTACCGCATGAATGGATGCGACATCGACACGTAACGACAGATTGTCTTGTGGCGCGCGCGGATTCGCGGCGTCTTTCTTACGCATCTCCTTTTGCAACCTCGAACGCGCGTATCGCGGTCACTTTACTCACGGTAGAATACCTTAGGACCGTCTTCCCTCTAGGACAAGCAAACAACATTGTAGTAACTCGAATGTTAACTGCCATTAATAATCCATTAGCTAGCGTGATGCAAATTTCTAGCACCGTTATGTTAATACGAAAACAGAATGTCACCGAAAGGCAACAATGTGCAATTAGTGGAGCGTTTGGTAAAGGATCGCGCCATGCGTTGTCACGAC